ATGTTTGCTGTTTGTTTGTTGGATTATTTGAGTAAACAGGATCATATCATTTTGGATTTGGCACTTGCGTCTGCATGAGAAACTACGAAAATCAAATACTTTGAGGCACAGATGGTAAGCATTTCATTGCGGGATGTTTAATTTAAACCAATCAGATCCTTATTTCCTCACCAAGCTCACCTCATGCCACCTCCATGTGCCCTATCACGCCACAGCGTGAGCTACAGGACCAACAACGTTAGGAAAATGTGGTTCTGGTAGTGGGCATGGGAACTAATGTCCTTTCATATGAGCATCTGTTTTGTAATGACTTTCTTCAACACTAATAAACAGAATATTTTTATAAATTATACAAAAAAAAACAACACATACATATATTATATACGCTAAATATAATATAAATTACTAGTTATAAAGCTATAATTTCAAAATCCCTGGCATTCTTTAGATTTTGGTTGCCCAAAATGGATTTAACTACCTCTAATAAAAGACACATCAGCTGAACTTCACTCTGGGCAAATCAGCATGATCAAAAACGTCTGTGATTGCATTTTTTCTTCAAATAACAATTAAAGAGAGTAGGGGTGCAATGGATCACAAAAGTCATGGTTCAGATCGTATTAAAAATTGAGTCACAGATCAGTTCATTTTTTGGATGAGCAAAAAAATGGTTCTTTATTATTTAAAGAACACTTTAAGTACTTCTTCGATACCACAGCAAAAACTAGTAGCATAACTAATAAAGGTCAAACATTTTTAAAGACAAGTGAACCGTCAGTAATAAAATAAGTACAAATAAACAAATTTCAAGCATAGATAAATAAAACAGAACAAAGTTACAAAAAAAAATAAGGTCTAACATTAGTTTTCAGGTTTTTTGGAACGACATGGGGGTAAGTGATTAATGACAAAATTTTCATTTTGGGGTGGAGTAACCCTTTAAGTGTAAAACAACACTGCATAGTGTTCACTGTATAAATTAAATATAGATTGAGTTTTGTTAAAGTTGTGTTTTGTTGTTTGATTAACATTAAGAACACAGAAAGCAGCAGATTTTTATAGGCTGCTGTCCCTTTAAAGGGATAGTTCACCCAAAATTGAAAATTACCCCATGATTTACTCACCCTCAAGCCATCCTGGGTGTATATGACTTTCTTCTTTCAGAAGAATACAATCGCAGTTGTATTAAAAAATGTCCTGGCTCTTCCAAGCTTTATAATGGGAGAGGGTAGAGGTCCAGATTTTGAAGATTGTTTTTATTTTTTATATTTTTATATAAAGGTTTATATATACAGTGTGTGTGTGTGTGTGTGTGTGTGTGTGTGTGTGTGTGTGTGTATATAAATAATTGTATACACACGTGTAAATTATATAAAAATATATTATATATATATAATATCATAAATATAATATTTATCACACACGTGTAATATAGCTACATATTTAATATAAAAATAATATATGTAATATATAATTTTATATAAAGTGTTATATATTTATATAATATACAATACATACATACACACACACATACAATATTTAAATTTTTTAGAATAATGTAAATGTGAGTGGTCATATGTTAATGAGTTCATAATTGCGACCACAACAAACCGAACCATTTTTGCTGCTTATTTTTTATTATAAATGGTCTTGAGTGTAGCTGTCAAAATCGATATATTATACTGAACTATTCAAAAGGAGCAACAAAAATCCTACTTTTCATGACTTGACCCATTAATGACTCAGTTTTGACATTTACCATTGTGTTTCTCCAAAATTACTAATGAAATGTGTAATATCCTTTAGCGATTACAGGAATACCACTGTCATCACGTTGTGCAAACTGTTCAAGAAAATGCCTGTTTGTACTTTGACACTGATGGCCCACCTGTAAGGAACATGAGTGAGTAACACGTACTTTAGGAAACAGAAGTCAGGGTGTCCCTAAGTCTTTAGAGGGATATTGTAATGAAAGTGTTGTTTTCAAATGCTTGTGTCAGAGCTGTCCTGGCAAGTCAAACACCTGCTTTCCCAAACCTCAACCTGACCATTTGCACGAGTCTTTAAGGGTCTTCTGTCAGCTGTTGCACTGAAGAATGCAGCAGCTGTCTTACCAGCACCACTGGAAGCATGAAGAAAACCACAAATAAATAACAGTCTGTCGTTACTTGGAAATTAACTTCCCTTCAGGAGCTACAGCTTTTTAAAAAGAACAGAAAATACCCACAATCACAAACCTCTCCTTAACTAGCTGCACGATTTGAGGAACCATTCGTGTGTAAAGTACAAAATAGGTTTGAAGGAATGGTTCACCTGAAATGTACTCCAAGCTGTAGATAAATTTGCTTCTTAATCAGAACTGATTTGGAGAAATTTAGCATTACATCACTTGCTCATCAATGGATACTCTGCACTGAATGGGTGCCGTCAGAATGAGAGTCCAAACAGCTGATAAAATTACAGCTCTGAAGTGAAAAGCTGCGTGTTTGTAAGAAACAAATTCATCAAGACATTTTAAATTAAACCAACACTGTTTGGACTCTCATTCTGACGGCACCCATTCAGTGCAGAGTATCCATTGATGAGCAAGTGATGTAATGCTTAATTTCTCCAAATCTGTTCTGATGAAGAAACAAACTCATCTACATCTTGGATGGCCTGAGGGCGAGTAATTTTTCAGCAAATTTTCATTTTTGGGTGAACTATTCCTTTAATACTTAGCTTTAAGGGCTTGTTTGCCTTTGAAAGTATGACTGAAAATAAAGTGCCATTGCATTAAGATCTTATGTAATATCGAACAGAAAACTCATGTCTCAGCAGTCCATTAATTACCTCATATATTTACTAAATCCTAACACTGGCACAATAACACTCACACAAGAGCGCTGGTCCAGATTTTAAAGCATATATGGAGCCAAGGCAGCAAGCGGAGAAACATCAAATGTCCAAAACAGCTTTACTCAAGAGCATAATAATGGATAAACTACAGTGTGGGAGCTCAGACACATCTGTGGGAAGCTACAGAAGCCCTAAACACACTCAAAAGTCAGGAAAAGGACGATTGGAGTCTGAAACTTTCTGTATGCCTAGATGTCATAATGGTAGTTCAATGCACATAAACCCACAATACACTACATTCCAAAAGTTTGGGGTCTTTAAGATTTTTTTTAAATGTTTTTGAAAGAAGTCTCTTATGCTCACCAAGGCTGCCATGCTTGATCAAAAACACAGTGAAATAAGTAATATTGTGAAATATTATTAGAATTCCAAATAACTGTTTTCCAGTTAAATATATGTTAAAATATAACTTATTCTTGTGATGCAAAGCTGAATTTTCAGCATCATTACTCCAGTCTTCAGTGTCACATAATCCTTCAGAAATCATTATAATATGCTGATTTACTGCTCAAGAAACATTTCTTATTATTATCAATGTTGAAAACAGTTGTGCTGCTTAATATTTTTGTGGAAACTTTAAGAAAGAAACTTTGTCAGGAATCTTTGATAAATAGACAGTTCAAAAAACCAGCATTTATTTGAAATGGAAATCTTTTGTAACATTAAATGTCTTTACAGTCATTTTTGATTAATTTAACCCAAACATTTAAACAGCAGTTTTATTTTTATTTCTTTACAGTTTCTTGTAACCAAAATAATATCATCATTACTGCAGTTGTGCAATATTCATTCCCTTTACATGCCAAAGTTACAGTAGCTGCAAAATGTCACCAAGCAACCTAATAAACATGAAGAATCTTTTATGCAAAATTACGCATTTGCCCAGTTTCCCTTTTTCCAAAACAGACCCTTGACATTTCCATTTAGTCACCTGTGACTAGTCTACTGTGGCAGAAAAAAAGAGAAATGACTTGAACATCACATGATTACGTCTAATGAGTTGAGCAACAGGGCGTTACAGAAATGTAGAAAATCACAGACAATTTATACAAATTTTACCAGTATTTCAAGCTTACAAAACAGCTTAAACACTTTGCACTCTTTATAAATATCGGTGGTTCTTTGCTGGAGGGTAATGATCCAAAATGAGCCACAAGTCTGTTCTGAGAGGGACCACAGAGAACATTTCCAAAACCATTTCAAGATGCATGAAACCTCCAAAATTCAGGAGACACTTACAATTTAAATTGTATTTGTTATTTTTTCAATACAGCCTATTTCATTATAATTTGTATCATTATTAATATTTATTAAATATATTTAAATGATATTAAATATTTAATTTTAAGGTAATTTTTAAGCTTTTATATACGCATTTGGCAGGGGTTTTTATCCAATTTATTTCTGAAACATCATGTGACACTGAAGACTGGAGTCTGGAGCTGCTGAAAATTCAGCTTTGCAATAATTTATGCACTTACATAATAATATTATAAATGCAATTACATTTTTAAAAAAATAAGAAAATAGAAAACAGTTATTTTAAAAGCATTACAAATGAACTAATGAAATGAAATGGCTAGGAAGTATACTCTCATTCCGGCGTAATAATCAAGGAACTTTGCTGCCGTACCGTGGGTGCAGAAGGCGCAATGATATTAAGCAGCGCCTGAAAATAGTACCAGCTAGGTAACTTCCAACGGAAGGCACGCTCCCTGTGCAAGCAGGTGGTCACTTTGGTTATGTTGGCGGAAGTTAGCATATTTTCAGGCGTTGCGTAATATCATAGCACCTGCTGCACCCATGATCAGCTTTTGTTCCTCATATATTATATTGGAGAAAATTAAGATAAACTTTTAATGTGAATGTTCCACTTAAAGTTGTTCAGTCAAGTCACTTACAATATCATGGGTCAGATTATCATTCTTACAATTTGACTTCTACATAACGTTGCAGTTCCACAAAACACCGGCCAACTTTAACATTTGTTGCCCAGTGAGTGTTAACTTTGTACCCTGACTGCATACTATGTGAGCGAGTGTCAATCAGCGAGACTATAGCATTATGCTGTGCTGCGTAGCGATCTCAGGCGTGCCACTCACCGAGATGTCGTTCTGCACCTTCTCATAAGACAGCTGCAGCAGGGGGCGGCCGGGTCTCTCGGGTGTCAGGTGGAAGCTGTATTCCCCCTCCGCTGCCGGTCCCTCTCCGGTCAGAGCCAGTTGCAGGTCACCAACATACCTCTCCCGCTCCATCTCAATCTCCTGAGCTTCACGGGACACATCCTCCTCTGAAACTAACAAATGAAACCAATGCAAAGGCCTGTGGTTTGAAACGTGGCAGTTTTGAAGGCTCTTCATGTCATTTAAATGGGATCATTTGACGTCCTACCTTCACCACTCCATGCAGAGATGCCATCGGACAGAAGGATAACAAAGCCAGATCCAAGATTCTCAGCCCACTCTAGCTTGAGAAAAAACGTGCGATGAGGCTCAGAGGCAATGGAGATCTGACGCACGCTAGTGCTGCAACACCTGTAGAAATGATCATAATACGTAACATCACACACAGCTAAAACACAAAAACTCTACATCTGTAAGAATGAACAAATGCATTAAAAAAAACTTCAAAAGTATCTGCACTAATAATTATAAATACCTATGGGTAAAACAGATGGTTCATTTCAACAATTTGTACATGAATATATATTAGTATAATATTATAATAATATATATTATTAATATAATATATGCAATATTATAAATAATATTCATTAAAATAAAATATAAACATAATTAAAATAACTAGAATATATATTATTATAATTAGGTAATATATATATATATATATATATATATATATATATATATATATACACACACATATACCACGACAATAAATTTGAAAAACTAATATTTAAAAATATATATATTATTAATACACAAACACATATATAAATAATTATGTATATAATTTTTTTATATATTATATATTTAAGTTAACTGTCAATAAATATTTCATTATTTTATAATAGATTTCATTAAAAATTACATTATAATTAATTCATTTTAAAAACTAATGAGCACTAATTTTATAGGCCAGGACTACATCTGCACTACTCATTTTCAGTACTGTGGAAAATGTATGTAAATCTGCAGAATGGATTTAAAATGATGATAAATGTAAGGAGTGGAGATTAGTATACTACTGATAGATAAAAATACTTTTTTTTGTTTTTTTTTTGAGTAATTCATGAACATGCAAAGGTCAGAGAACATGTGAAAGTTTGTAGAAGTTTCTACAAACTCCACCGTAGATTATTAACGGATGGATGCAGACCTCACAGGAGTCAGAAAATCCACTGAGTGATGTGTGAGAGCCGACCTCTCAGGTCAGAGCTGACGATGTGCAGCGGCGAGGAGAAAGGTAAAGGACAACATACAACACATCTGAGTCGACTGACTTTAACTCGCTTGTCAAACTGATAATCAAAGTGTCCAAAACCCTCAGCGAACCGTTCACATCTGTTTCCCTCCCGTCGTGCATCACAACCAATTGTTGCTATTCTTGACGTGACTTTTGTGCAAACCGTGGCATAAACTTACGGGGTCGCGGTATCCAAAGACTGGCATGATGCGCGCTCTGAAGGAACAGGACAGCTATTCATTAGCTACAGTAACATCTGCACAGAGGTGATTCTTCGCCCTCGGTAATGACAGATGCAGCAAAGCCTATAGGAATATGAGAAGGCGGCTTTGACAAATAAGACAAAGAATTCTCTTAAGATGTGGCTGAGAAGCCAAGAAGGGGTCGGGGTGGAAAGTTCGGATGTGGCTCGCACCTCAAGATGAACTACCCAAACATTGGTCCATGGCCCTGTTTTATCCAAACTAAAGATTTAAGTGCCACGTTCCCATTCAGAATGTGTGACTATGGCTGCATGACACTGCTGCTATCTTTCCAGTGGCGTCTGTCTGGCCTGGGTAATGGCAGATGAGAGAAAGCTGTTCTTCTAAAAAGATGGTGAAGTATAGAAGGGGGTCCCAAGTCACTTTCCATACATGGGATTTGGGCATGAGAGGAGATAAGGAATTCAGATAGGGGAATAGTGATAACTTGAGAAGAAAAGAAAAGAAAACTGCTTGGGTTGCTGGATGAAGAATCAGATTTTAATCGTGATCACGATTTCGGCTTCTCTCAATTTATTAAGCATAATCGTTTGCCATATATTCCCACTGGTTATTTATCCTGAAAAGGTTTCATTTTAATATGGCATTTGTGTTATGCATTAGTAACAAGCCTCTACAAGCTTTCATGGTTGCGGTTGCCAGATTTCAAGAATTTAAATCCTCCAATCAGAGCAATAATCGTGATTAACTATTAAAATAGTACAGGCCTAACTATTAAAATATTACACTCATTATCGTGCAGCTCTAGCTAGTGGCTTTATGAGAGCATAATGATGGTTTGGGGTCTGTAACATTTTAATGTTTTTGAAAGAAGTCTCTTCTGCTCCACAAGGCTGCATTTATTTGATCAAAAATGCAGTAATATTGTGAAGTATTATTACAATTTAAAAGAACAGTATTCAATTTGAATACATTTTTTAAATTAATTTATTCCTGTGATGCAAAACTGAATTTTCAGCATCATTACTCCAGTCTTCAGTGTCACATGATCCTTCAGAAATCATTCTAATATGCTCAAGAAACATTTCTTATTATCAGTGTTGAAAACAATATGCAATATTTTTGGGGGAAACCGTGATACATTTTATTTAAAATTCTTTGAGGAATAGAAAGTTTAAAAGAACAGCATCTGTTTGAAATGCCTTTAAGCCTGTAGTATTTTAAATTGTACAAAACATGACAGAAGGGACTTATAATCTTCAAGGCCTGGGTCATACTAACACTACCAGTCATGACTCATGAGAGATTATTGGTTGCTTAATAATATGTGACCCTGGACCACAAAACCAGTAATAGGGGTCAATTTGTTTAAATTGAGATTCATACACCATCCCAAAGCTGAATAAATAAGATTTCCATTGATGTATGGTTTGTTAGGATAGGACAATATTTGGCCGAGATACAACTATTTGAAAATCTGGAATCTGAGGGTGCAAAAAAATCTAAATATTGAGAAAATCACCTTTAAAGTTGTCCAAATTAAGCTCTTAGCAATGCATATTACTAATCAAAAATTAAGTTTTGATATATTTACAGTAGGAAATGTACAAAATATCTTCATGATCTTTACTTAATATCCTAATGATTTTTGGCATAAACGAAAAATCTATAATTTTGACTCATACAATGTATTTTTGGCTATTGTTACAAATATACCCCAGTGACTTAAGACTGGTTTTGTGGTCCAGGGTCACATATATGTGAGTGCTTCAGAATGACACTGACTAAGGTGTAATTAAGACACATTCCACTCTAAAGCGTTCCATCGATGGTCCAAGTCCACAGATGGTCTCGACCATCTCAACAAAAACCTCAAGAACGACATTCTACATAACTGCCAATCTCTTTCAGGAAGGTTATGCACAAGTAACCATGAAAAAAAAAACTGTTTTATGGTCTCTTCTTTTCTACGGTATACGTTTAATTTTTATGAAAATAATGTCAAAATGCAAAATATAATTTCTTACATTTCTTTTAAGGTCAAATATGACCCAAACCCCGACCAAAATACTACTTTTTTCTGCACTCGATTTTGCATATATTTGCTTCCATCTTGTTTGCATCTGAACAACATTCTCTCCATGTATCCATAGAGATATTCATAATCCAGCAAAAGCTAGATATTTATGGCTTGCTGATTTGAGCACCATCTACTGTTGCCCTAAGTCATCAGCGGCCGGAAGCAAAACGCAATGAATCAATTCTCTAAATCTATTTTTAAGGGGAAAGTCCCATCATTTCTAGTTTTTAAAGGGGGAAAAAATGTTAATCCTCAACAATGGCTTGTGTTTCGTACATCCAGAAACACAGTTTTAAAGTGACAGAATCACGGGAGAGCATCACTGGCAAGGAAGTAGACAGTCAGGTCTGTAACAAAAGCCTCAGTCTGATCAGGTGGCCGACTTTGGCTACTGCCCAGTGAGAGATGGTGGTATGACATCATAGAGACACTGACCACAAAAATGCATGTTGAATACATCAAACATCACTGTAAATGAAAAGAAACCATAATCATAATAAATTAATAAATCACATATACATATATATATATATATATACACACACACACAACCGTTCAAACGTTTGGGATCAGTAAGATATGTTATGTTTTTAAAGAAGTCTATTCTGCTCATCAAAGCTGCATTTATTTGACCAAAAATACAGAAAAAAACAGTATGTTTTAGGAACCTGTGATACTTTTTTGGGGATTATTTGATGAATAAAAAAAAGTTAAAAAGAACAGCATTTATTCAAAATGGAAATCTTTTGTAACAATATACAATACCATTCTAAAGTTTGGGGTCAGTAATTTTTTTTTTTTTTTTAAGAAATTAATGCTTTTATTCAGCAAGGATGTGTTAAATTGATAAAAAGTGATAATAAAGACTTATATTGTTAGAAAAGATTTCTAATTTGAATCAATGCTGTTATTTTTAGCTTTATTCATCAAATAATCCTGAAAAAAGTATCACAGGTTTCAAAATAATATTAAGCAGCACAACTGTTTCCAACAATGATAATAAATCAGCATTTTAGAATGATTTCTGAAGGATCATGTGACTGAAAACTGGAGTAATGATGATGAAAAATCAACTTTGCATCACAGAAATAAATGAAATTTTAAAGTACCGGTATATTAAAACAGAAAACCATCATTTTAAATGGTTATAATATTCCACAATATTCCTGTTTTTTTCTGTATTTTTGGTCAAATAAATGCAGCCTTGATGAGCAGAATCTTACTGATCCCAATCTTTTGAACAGGTTGAATTACTGAAATAAATGAACTTTTCCACGACATTCTAATTTATTGAGATGCACCTCTGTGTGTGTGTGTATAGATAGATCAGAACACATATTTTTCATCAAAATAAAATGTTTTACTTTTTGCAAAAATAGATGGTGACCTTCTGTAAGGAACCAAAACAAACACAAGATTTCAAGGTCAGTAACATGTTGACAACAACACCCTCTTCAATGCTGCTCCTATATTTATGCTAAATACAATTATTAACTCTCATGTT